ACCCGCCGGGAGGGGGCGGTGCCTGCGCCGGAGCGGGGCCGCGGGGTGCTGCGGCTGCCCTGAGGTCCGAAGTACAGCCCCGCCCTGGGTTGCGGCCCCTCATCCCCAGACAGCCGCGCAGGTGCCCAGGGCAGGGCAGGGCGGCTCTGCCCGCCGGGGAGCGGAGCGAGGACCTGCTCACACGGCCCGGGCCAGCCCCTAATGCCCGCTCTCCCAGACTCGTGATTTATTGGCGAGCTGGATGGAGGTGAGTGCGTGGCCAGAGCAGGTCGATGGTACCATCTTTTCTGCGATGCCTGATGAGGGGTGTTTGTGCCCCTAGGCTTTGCCATGCAAGGTTTTTTTTGTTGTTGTCAAAATCTCGTTGGTCTCATAAAACATCCCGTCTCTACCACGAGTCCTGGTTGCCTTTTCCTCGAGACCAACACGGCCCCAGCCTGGATACGAACTTTCATTTCTAGCCAGGAGAACTTGGACCGTCTTTTCTCCGATGCCTGACGAAGGGTGTTTGTGCCCGAAAGCTTGCAATTAAAGAAGATTTTGTTGCGAAAATCTTGTTGGTCTAATAAAAGATCCCATCCCCATCATGAGTCCTGATTGCCTTTTCTTCTAGACCAATACGGCTACGGCCTGGATCCCTGGCCAGAAAAGGTCGAGCTGTTTCAGCTGGGCCTTTTATACCCAGGCGGCTACAAGCTGTAGGTTATGAGACTGACAACTTACAGACAACTTTTTGTATAGATTAGCTTTCAAAAAGTAACCGGGAATAAGCAACCAACTTCAGCCTCATCAACTTTTTAAAAACGTAGCTGTGCTGTCTGGAATATTTTTAAACCCTTGACTGTGCAGGCAGGGTGTCTAGGCGTTGTCTAATTAAAAATACAATGAAACTATTTCAATTTTTACTTCCGGTTTTTGTGTGCACGGTTCCTGGGCCTTTTAGGGAGTGTGCTGTTGTTTAGTCCTGGCATAACCCTCTCGAAATTACGGCTTGTCGCCTTTCAGTGACTTTATTAAAATGCGTGCCTGTCAGATAGACCTTCCTACATACATATTAATAAGGCTTCTTACGGATAATTAAGCCGTGACTAACACCTTGCTGAATATCATTTTCCTAGAATAGGCGGAGAAAGCAGTTGGAGCCAAACAGTTTTTATTTCCTATTCAAACTAATTAGCAACAGAAATTATTTCTGAAGATGTATTATTTTAAATTTATAACACTAATCTTTATTGCAGCCTCAAAAGGAATGCACCTGTCTGTGATGCACTGTGTTTTTCTTGAATGGAGAAATGCTAGTGGGAGTTTTTAAAATCACACGGATGATGAGCAGGTTGATCAAGAGGCAAGCCTCCTGGAAATGCTTGTGAGCCGATCTCCCTCTAGTGGCTGGCCTGTATAGAGCAAAAATAATCCTTTATGGATAGGGGCCTACCAAATCTGTGATTTTTGCGGATTCCGCAAAATCTGACATTGGCTGCAAAATCTGCAGGAAAAAAAATTACCAGAAATAAAACAGTAGCTCCCCGGAGGAAGCCAGCAGTCCTCAGTGCGCTGCAGCAGCCCACTGGGGCAGAGGCCACTGCTTGAAAAGCTGCTGGCAAGATGGCTACAGCTACCAATCAGCGGCGAGGATGGGGTCACATGACAGGAAGCCATGGCAACCAATCAGTGATGAGGGGCAGGGCCACCAGGGCACTTTGGCCAATCAGGCATGGGCAGGGTGCTATGGTCTGCCACAAAGCCCATGTTCTGCCTGAGCCCGTGTTCTGTCTGTGTAATGGGGGGGGCAGCTCCCACAGATTAATTAGATCCCCATTATGGGCTGCTGTTGTAGCTAGTAACGCTACTCTGATCCCAGTCACCATGCGAGGAGCTATACCAACTGTGCTACCGCTGAAGAGTCAGGAGAGTCGCGCTGAGCGGTAATGAGAGATTCCTTAAAACTGGGCAGCTCGGGCAAGGTTATGGGGCGTTCTACACCACCCAGTGGATCTGGAGCAATGCCGATTGAAGGCCCCAATCTGTCATGTACACACAGGGTGCTGGGGAGTGAAGTTTTCTTTCCCAACCAAGATGCAAGACACTGAGCATTCACAGGGGTGGATCCAGGGGGTTGCACTGCTGCATTTGCACCCCAACCCCGCTTTGATTTCTAGTCTACCCAAATATTAAAACCAACTGCCTGGCAGTGGCAGCAGCATTTCTACTGAGGCAGAAATGATGGCGTGAATTAACACTATGGCTTATTACACTCTACCTGATTCCTTCTAAATTCTTCATTCTACAGGTATTATTGACCCTACTTCCTTTATAATGGGCTTGATGTTCAGCTAATCAAGCTAGCCTTTCTTCTGCAATTCCGCTATCAGCTGCTCCTGGTAATGTAGCTCCTATTTCACAAAACTACGGACTGTTTTAACTGTAGCAAAAAACGTTAACTCAGGTGTGGAAATAGTGCATCCAGTGCTTTACTGAAAGTTATCAAGATGCTCAGAAAGGCTAGATTTTGTTTCACGAATCTGAAAGCTGTGCTTTTAATTCTAATGACTGCAGAAGTAATGAAACATATTATTTTTGCCTAGATTGTTGTGTTTTTATGTATACTATATGATGTAGCAAATTGATGCACACTGTAATATATTTATATTTGTTTTTGCTTAAACTGAATAATACAGCCTTAGGCCAGTAGTTTATTTGTAAAACTTCTAGTTAAAAATAAACGTGATAAAAAATATGTGTTGTCTTATATGTAATGACACACCACGCCGTCTGCACCCCCCCACACACACACCCTTTTCAAAAGTCAAGATCCACCTATGTGTATTCATATAACTATTTTGGGACTGCTAAAATAGCCTTTGGTAGCATTAGCAGCCTCCATGGAGTTGTGTCTACTCGTTACTTCCCTGATATAACCATAGCCATCCTCCCCTATATGGTGTAACAAAATAAGGTAGTATGGCCCCTCTACATGTGCAGGTAAACGTGAGATGGGATCTTATGTGAAATTCACACAATCACACATTAAATCCCATCATGCCTTATTGCCAATGCAAGGGAAGCCCAATCCCAGGCACCCTCTCCACCAAGAAGAAATAAGCTCCTGTGGCTGGGAGCTCCACATGCCTCAGCTGAGGAGCTCCCAACTGCAGGGATACCCTATGCACCCCTGAGGCTGGAGGATCCCCTTTGTGGCAATCTCCCTGCCCTGAGGATGTGGGAAACCCCTGCGGTCAGAGGACAATTTGAAGCCATGATCCCCAGGGCCTGGGGGTTTCATGCATTCTGGAGACCTAAGGATCACAGCAGCCCTGATCTCCAGGGTCTGAGGGTTTCACAGACCCTACCATGATCCATAGGGCTTGGGGGGGGAGCCCCTCCAGATCTCGCGGCTGCCATGATCCCTGAGGCTTGGGGGTTTTATGCTGGGCATGGTGCACCCCTGCACCTGGGAGCCCTGTCAGTTGATGGGGCTCCCAGACAGGGGAGATCCTGCTACATGTATACAACTCGATAGCAACCAGCTATAAAGTTAGTACACATTTTTAAGGTCTAACTTTATAGTTGGTTGGAGCTTTTTATTGTGTGATTGGCTACACATGGAAAATAGCTGTCTCCAGGCAATTGTGCAAATAACCAGGTATTTTTGCACAATACCTGTAACATGTAGAGGGGAAGGGTCTATGGCACTCTGCAGCCTCTAGTTTGCTTTCCACAAGGATTTAATTATTATCTTTCTAATTTTGGGGTGGTGGGGAGGGATAAGGTCATGAGTTCTGCATTCCACTCTTCTTGGGCGAAGGGGCCTACTCTGCTCTTGGCAAATCAGACTACAAATTAAGAGCCTAACATGGATTTAGAAGCTAAATTTCAGATGCCTGTTTTAAAAAATTTTTTCCTGTGATCCTAAGATTTATACTACTCTAGGTTTTTTCCTGCCATACTTGTACTTATGCCTATCTTGTGCTTCATCCCAATTCATGTTATGTGAGACTTTTTTTCCCCATCCACTGTTATATTTTCATGATACACCTCATCCATTTTATGCAAGTTTACTGGTAGGCTATTCTGCACAAATGTGTAGTTTGTTGAGATTTAGCTTTTTTAGTGTAATTTTTGTAATATTGTACTGTGTGCTGGCCTTTTTTTTTCCTTTTGGTATAAATCAGAATATAGTCACTATGTAAATTAGATAGCCTTTCCACATACTTAAGGGTAGGTGTTACACAATTATAACCCTGCTGAGTACAGTCAAAATAAAGGATAAACACCTTGTCAAAGATGCAGTGCAACAAAGAGAAAAGCGTATAAGGGAAAATTTGTGTCATCCAGGTAAACATCCTCGGCTCTTAATTTACTGTTCCACAGAGCAACCAGGTGTGGTTATACAAAAATCGAAATTGGGAGCAAGGAGATTCTCATGGATTTATATTACTCCTTCAGCTGAAGTCTAGGATTGCTTTATTTATCATTGAATTAGTATAGATCATCTTTGTCTTAATGAACATTGAAAGGAAGTTGGCTGAGGCAAGAATAAACAAACAGATTTTCAGAAGGATGCAGAGTTTACAGTTGATTCCCTCAGGCATTTTATTTTGAACCCTTTCTAACTTTACTTTGAGTATAACATGTGAGTAGCAATATGAAAGGATATGCAATGGGGTGTTTCAGCATCTAGTTTTCCCCCTTTGGTAACTGCTTACTTTAAGATGGATTTCAAATACACTCAGAGTTAGAGAAGAAAAAAAGACTTACCATATAAATAACCATCAAGTTATTTAGAATAGAATAGTTATTTAGAATTTTTGCTGCACTTCATTTAAAAAGCTGCATATACTCACTGGATGCTGGATGAAACCAGAATACTCTCTTGGAGTGTTGTACCAAAGGCAGGCAGGTTCCCACAAAGCCCCACTCTTAATGCTC